TGAAGATGAAACTATTCGGTGTAATGAGCAAGAACATGTCGAACATAAAGAGAAAAAAAATGAAAAAGGTGATGGTGACATTATATTTGAGGCAATAGAAGATGAAAATTCTTCAAGAGAAAAACTCGATGAAAAATCTCCATCAACTGATGAAGATATTCATCTCCCTATCGACGGTGAACGAACTGAAAAATGTGAATGTACAACTTCATCAATAAATACAGTTGATGATGAATGCAATAATATGTTACCTATCACTGAAGGCGATCGACTATTTAATCTTGTTATTCATCTTCAATCAGTTAGTGAAAAAAATTCAAATGAAAAACCTGTTGGTATGTCTAATTTTCGTGTTAAACATCGTTTACATCACCATTCAAAAACGAATACTTTTGGACATTGGAGAAGAGCAATGAAAAAAGCTTTTGAACTTAAAGATCCATGGTAAATCTTGTTCTCTGAACTTTTCAAGAAATTTTTGTATAAACTTTTGTTTTTTCTTTTTTGTTATTTTTTCTAGGGAAGATTTTAAAGTTGATAATTATCCAGAAGAAATCGTTATATGTCATGAATTTGATCCAATTAAACGTAAATGGCATACAAATCAAATTACAGTTAGAATTGAATCAAAACCATTTGCACATGGAAGTATGAGGGAATGTTTTCGATTGTAAATTTATTTTTATTAATGATTTAAAGTAGATAAAAAATAACAAATTTTATTTAGAAAAAAGATCTCAATTTTTTCAACTAATCATGATTGGGATCGTTCAAGTAATTATATTGCTAAACGATATATTGATGATATACCAATGACACGATATTTTGATGATGTTATGATGCAAATGACAACAAAATTATGGGCAGCACATTATAATCAACATAATCCACCGAAAAAAGTATTTTTTTAAATGAAAAACAAAAATATATAAATTTTTTTTTATTATTTTTGTTTCTTCAAGGTTGATATTATTCAAATGAGTGTATTAGAATTTAAAGATCGTGCTGGTCGACCTTATTATCATTTAGAACGATTTATTGTAAGATAAACAAATAAATAAAAAAAAAAAACATCAACTCATTTCCAATATTTTAGGACGGCGATTATATAAAATATAATTCAAATAGTGGTTTTGTTTGTGAGGACCCTACTCTACGTTATACACCACAGGTTTCTCTTTGTTTTGTTTTTTTT